AGAACTTCTATCTCCGTCCAGCAGTGAGGTAGAGACCTCTTCCAGCTTTTACTTCTGTGTCAACAGATGCCAAGTAGGGAACATGGACTTCACCTCCACCTGTCAGGAACAACGCAGCTCACTGTCACCCATCACTTTTCCTACTGGGGCAGTGCCCGAGGAAGCCATTTAATGCAGATGATTAAACTAATATCCGGTGTCTCATAACATAATATTCAAAATGTCAAGTTTCAATAGAAAATCGCACATCGTACCAAGAATCGGGATGATCTCTGAAAGAAAACAAGCAATAAATGCTAATCGCAAGATGACAGACATGTTAGAATTATCTGACACACATTTTAAAGCAACCACCCTAAAAATGCTTCAGAGAACAATGACTAATACTCTTGAAACAAGTAAACAATTAGGAAGTCCCAGGCAAGAAGGTTAAAATATAAAGGAGAACCAAATGGAAGTTTTAGAACTGAAGAATACAGGAACCAAAACAACAATAATAAAACCCGAATCAAGGGAGGCACTCACCAGCAGAATCAAGGGGACACAGTGAACTGGAAGAGAGGACGCTGTTACATATCCATTCTGAACAACAGAGAGAAGAAAATGGGCTGGAAAAAAAGGGAACAGAGCTTCAGGGATATGTAGTGCTATAACAAAAGATCTAACTTCCGTGACATTGGAGTTCTGGGAGGAGAAGAAAAGAGGGCAGAACTGATAAAGTGCTCAATTAAGGAATGGCTTAAAATTTTCCTACAAAGCTACGGATATAAGAAGCCAAGCAAATCTCAAACAGGATAAACCCAAAGAAATCCATGTGAAGGCACATCATACTCAAACTTCCGAAAAACAAAGAGAAATATGTATATATTGGAAACAGAAAGAAATGACACTCTACCTAAAGGGGAAAAAGTTTTGACTGATGGATAATTGTTATTAGAAACAAACCATGGAGGCCAGAGTATTGAAGAAGTGTTGAAAGAAAAGAAGGGCCAACTCAAAAATCCTATCTCCAGCTGAAAGGTCCTCTCTAGTGGAAAGATCCTTCAGGAATTGAAAGGGAAATCAAAGCAGTCTCAGAAAACTAAGAATATTTGTCACCAGCAGACATATGGAATAAGAATGGCTAAAAGAATGTTTCTGAACAAAAGGGAAACAATACAAGAAAGACTACTGGAACATCAGTAAGGAAGAAAGAACATAATAAGCACAAATATTGGTAATATTGGTCATTACAAGAGACTTTCATTTTCCTCTTGAGTTTTCAAGATTAGGTTGATGATTCAGGCAAAAACTAACACTGTCTAATGTGATTCTAAATGTATGTAGTAGAAATACTTGAGACAATGAGCTATGTTATAAACAGAGACGGTAAAGGGACGTAAAGAAAGGTGAATATGTTCCACACTTCACTCAAACTTGGAAAATGAAGACACTAGTAAACTGTGGTATGTCTCACACGATGCAAAAAAAAAAAAAAAAAAAAAAAATCATCTGATAAAATCCAACAAATATTCTTGATAAAAACTCTTAGCAAATGAAGAATTGATGGGAACTTCCTCAACTTGATAAAGAGCATTCACTAAACTTACCACGGACATCATTCTTCTTCTTCTTCTTCTTCTTCTTCTTTTTTTTTTCCTGTAGTCTCCATGCCCAACATGGGGCTTGAACTCACAATCTAGAGAACTAGAGATCAATAGTCAGATGCTCTACTGAATAAGCCAGCCAGGTGCCCCTATAGTTACATCATTCTCAATGATGAAAGACTGAATACCTTCCCTCCCGAGATCAGAAATTCTCACAGACTTTATTCCACATTGTACTATAGATTCTATCCAGTGTAATATGGCAAGAAATAGAAACCCAGAGATCCAGGTTGGAAATAGAAAAGGAAAGTTGTTTTTATTGGAAGATGACACAAGAATCAACCTAGAAAATCCTATAGAACTAAAAAGCCACTAGAACTAAAAGTAAAGACTTTTAGTCTTTAGTAAAGATATTTTAGACTTTAGTAAAGATACAGGATACAGGACTAATTCACAATAATCACTTGTATTTCGTATTTGCAAGGAACCATTGGAAAATGAAAATTTTAAAGTACTTAGAGTGAAAATGACAAAAGGTGGACAGGATCTACACATTAAAATTATAAAACATTGCTGACAGAAATGAAAGGGAATCGAAATAGGTAGAGAGATACTGTGTTCATGGGTCAGAAGGCTCAATATGTTTAAAGTACACATTTCCACCAAATTGATGTATAAAGTCAATGCAATTCTGGGCAAAATCTCAGCAAACTTGTAGAAATTGACAAACTTCTTCTAAAACTCATACGGAAATGCAAAGGACTTAGATAGTCAAAACAACTTTGCAAAGGAGGAACAAAGTTGGAGAACTAACACTGTGTGATTTCAAGACTTATTTTATTATAAAGTGACAATAATCAGAACAGTGGAGTGACGGTAAGTACCAACATCAATGGAACTTCAGAATCAAGACAAAACAGACCTGCTCATGTATGAATGACTGATTTTTGCCAAAGTGCTAACAGGGCGGGAAGGGAGACATGATAGTCTTTTCAACAAATGCTAGAGGAAACGAGCAAAACCATAGGCAAAAACATGAACTTCAATCCACACCTCATACCACTGACAAAAATTAACTCAAAGAATGGGTCATCGCAGGTTGAAATATCCACAGCTTCCAGAGGAAAATAGAAAAAAAAAATCTTTGAGACCTTGGGTTAGGAAAAGATTTCTTAGATACAACAAAAGCATAACACATAAAAGAAAAAAAATGGATATAGGAGACGCCTTCAAAATTAAAGAAACAAAAGTCATTGTTTAGAAAATGAAAAGATAAGCTACCATCTGGGAGAAAGCATGTCCAAAATCATATATTTAATAAGGGGCTTGATTTCATTATATATAAAGAGATCCCAAAACTCAATAATAAGAAATCAAACAACCCAATTAAGAAACGGACAAAATATTTAAACAGATATATCACCAAAGACCTACAAATCATAAACAAGTAAATGAAAAGGTGCTCATCGTTATTAGCCATTAGAGGGATGCAAATTAATAGCAGGAGCTATCACTCTGCGACTATTAGGATGACTATAATATAAAAGACTGACCATAACGGGCATTATGAGGGTGTGGAGGAATGGGAACTCTCACGCAAGGCTAATGGGTTTGCAGAAATGGATGGGGCTGTCATCAACGGAATCTTGCCAAACCCCATTCAAGGAATTGCGGCTTAATTTCTTCCCTGCCCAATTTGCTTTGCACAGAGCCACTGTAAAGCCAGCTTTCCAAGGTCACACAAGGTCACCTACAGCAGAAGCAAGGTTTTCCCTTCAAGCAAACTGGGGTGGATCTTGCTGTTTTTGTTTTTTTTTTTTTAACCTGAGGCACCAAGAGTGTGAATTAGTATGGTGGGTTCAAGATCCCCAAGCCCTCTTTTGGTTTACTTCTTGATGATTTCAGGTGTCTTGAAAGGTGACACAGAAGGAGAGGAAGGCAGAAGGCACCATGGCTCTTAGCAAGCTCTCGGTAGACAATTTTTTGAGGGTTGAATTCAACTCTGGGTGTGAGTCAGCTGCTGAGCGAGTGCGTTTCTGTCTGCATGTGTCTCTCTGCCTTTGCAGTCAGAGGAAGGGCCCTGGCTCAGGCCAGGAAGAATCTGCTCTAAGCTGATAAAGCCGAAGGCCAGGAACCCCGTGGTTTTTCTGTCTTTGGAAGTTCTCCCCGCGGGGCCTGGGAGGAGAGGGCACTCTCTAGGAGGAGGTACTTTCCCCGCAAAGCATCGGTCTGAATATGGCCCCAGGGAGCAGTTTGCACACATCCGGACTGTGAGACCCTGCGCACCCAGGGCTGGGTGCTCCATTTCAGGGGCTCCGGACCTGGTTTTCTCTCTTAAATGTGTGAACCCTGAAGTTCCGTGCCGCCTCTTGCCTTCTGGGGATGGAGGTGGGAGGGAGGCAGCCTCGGGCTGGGGTGAGAGAGAGACCTGTGTCCTGTCCGTGTCAAACCGCTCCTAGACAGGGGCGTGCAGCGTCCGGTGACCATGGCCGGAGGGCCCCCTGATCCTGACAAAGCCAGCTAGCTCGCTCCGCTTTTGCTGCCTTTTACTTTTTTCTAAAACAATTCTGGGGAGTTTCAACATTCCCAAATGACCAGGGAAACTCTCTACAGCTCAGCCCCAATCAGTCAATGCGGAGAAGACTTTCATCGGATTGTTTTTGTTTTTGTTTTAACCCATTGTTGGTGTGTAAATGGAGCCGTCAATCTAGAAGCCCCCCAGGAGCCCGGGGCATGAGTCTGCAGAGCTGGGTATTTTTAGTCTGCTCTCTCCCAGATTCCAGCTGGTGGACCCCAGTCAGGCTCCTGTGAGGCTCCTGGTGCAAGAGGTTTTGCTGAACCTGATGCAACCGCAAGGTGGGCTTAGCTCATGCATCTCACAGAGCTGTAGCCCTAGAAGCTCAGAGACATGCAGATAATACACAGAAACTCTGTCCAATTTCACCTTAAAATTGAAAAAAAGACCTCTCAACAGGTTCAGACGCCCCTGTGTATGTGTGTGTGTGTGTGTGTGTGTGTGTGAATCCAACTAGTAAAAATTAAAATCATCACATCGCTTCACAGGATGGCAGCACTATGTTGCTTTTCTTTGGCAACGGTCCACGATTGAGCTACTGATTAAAATATACCCTATGAAGTACATGTGTTTCTATGGAATGTCTCCCTGAGTATTTGCTGACTTGCCTCTGAATTACACGCCTGGTGAAGCGGACCCTGGCCGCAGGGAATCGCTTCTCCTTCATGCAGGTGCTCTCTGCGCCCCTCTCTCAGGCTGGGATCTGGGCTGCTCTGGGCTTTCTCTTTTGTTCTGTCCCGTGAGCCCCGCACAGGACATAGAACAGGGAGGCTGCCGTTCACATCCACCGGGGGCCCCTTCCTGGTCATCTGTCAGTGGGACAATAACTGTGGTCTTACCCTCCTGAGTCTCCTCTCCAGATCCAGTTCATAAAGGACGGGAGAGCTGCTGGAGGCTGCATGCTTCAGCCACGTCCTTTCGCTTTCTGCTCCTTGCTTTGCACATCTGTGAGATAAGGAAAAGGTACACATTTAGCAGCAATGATTCAGTTATTTTACTCTGCAGAAAAAGACCCACTGTTACGAAACAGAATTAACACTCGTTAATTCTGGGGTGTGGTTACTCAGGTGTTTGTTATATCCCTCTTGGTATTTTTCTGTATTTTCCAAAGTCTCTTGCCCCAATAGAGTAAGAGGGAAGACAATTTTTTTTAACTTTTTTTTTTTTAATTTCTGAGAGAGAAAGAGACAGCGTGAGCAGGGGAGGGTAAGAGAGAGAAGGAGTTACAGAATCCAAAGCAGGCTCCAGGCTTTGAGCTAGCTGTCAGCACAGAGCCCGAGGGGGGGCTCGAACCCACAAACATTGAGATCATGACCTGAGCTGAAGACAGATGCTTAACTGACTGAGCCACCCAGGCGCCCTGAGGAAAGACAATTTTTAAAAGGATTTGTATGAAATCTGGTCTCTGGTTCAGAGATGGATGCTCTCTGGTTCTGTGTACAGGAAAATGCTCAGTAAACCCCAGAGTCCTGAGACTGTAAGGAGAGGTATTAATATTATTTGTCACGTTTCTGTTCTGCACTGCTCTAGGAATTTACTGATACCCAGCACTAGGCTTCACCCCTACCCACGCTCTCCGCTGTGCAAGGCAGCCAGCCGTTCGCTCACTAAGCTGTTAACCTTTCTGGTGGGATAGGAGTTTTCTAGTTCAAGGCATGTGAGTCCAGAATGATGTCACTTAGAATGTTCTGATTCAGTTCCATCCAAAGCCGCCCCCCACCCCGCACCTGCAACCCCGACCTACACCAAACAGAACCATATACCTGTATGAACACTCCTATCTCCTGTCATCAAACATTTTGCCTTGTATAATAAATTCCCAACTTTGGGGGCTTTAGCAAAAACACATTGCCGGAGAAAACGCACAGTGACATCTCCGCTCCTCTAACTTAAAAACAGCCAAACTAAAATAAGTAACAACAACAACAAAAAGTTGTTTCCCACACATTTGCCCTGCTCTTACCACCAGTCTTCAGCCTGAAATAATTTCATGCTTGAGTTATTAACTTATGAAAATAGGCACAAAAGGGGAAAAATGCGAACAGATCCTCAGCTATATTATTAGTCATTGCTACAGCTGAGTGCATTCCGGCACAAAGGCGTGTTATTCTGCCTGAGTACCTCAGTTTTGAACAAAATGTAACTCACTAATGGGTTATGCCTCATATACCTTCTTATAATCATTAGGTTGCCATTCTCTGTAATTTATCCTGTTTTTCATTAAGAGTATGCTCATTAGACAGGCGTGCGCTCGAGTGCTCGTGTATGTGTGTGTGCATGGGCATGTGTGTGCACGCGTGTGCACACACACGCATACACACATGCACGCACAAATCCCCTTTTGTCTGTGACTGAAAAGAAAGGTCATGGGCTGAGCTGTCAGTCATTTAAGGAAACCACTGTGTTGATAAATGCTAATTATCACTGATTAAGATAATTGATAATTATCATTGATTATAGTGTTTGGAAATCAGGGTTGTGAATGGACGTGAAATGCAGATTCTGAAAAACTGGTGAATTGGGGATAAGAATATGAGTAAAGGAAGGGACTCCACAGAAGCCTTCTGGAGAAGATGAGATAGAGTGGAGGAGTCTGATCTGCCTCGCCTTGGTCTCTATTTGTCAGGGACAGTGCTGGTCTGAACTCTTCCCGGACTGCCCTCACTTGCTGAGTATGCTCAGGTCTTCTGGATGAGCGACATGATTCCAGGCAGTAGCCCCTTTTTTGGAGGTTTGGGGCTTGCGCTCAGAGATGTAGCCCCAAACCTAGTCTGAGTCAAGTGAAAAAGCCAAGTTTGGACCTACTGATTTTTGCTTCTGTGAAGTCCAGAACTGGTTATAGAAATCAAGGCCTGGGGCGCCTGGGTGGCTTAGTCGGTTAAGCGTCCGACTTTCGCTTGGGTCATGATCTCGCGGTTCGTGGGTTCGAGCCCCGCGTCGGGCTCTGTGCTGACTGCCAGCTCAGAGCCTGGAGCCTGTTTCAGAGTCTGTGACTCCCTCTCTCTCCGACCCTCCCCTGCTCACGCTGTCTCTCTCTCTGCTAGAAATAAATAAAATATTTAAAAAAAAAAAAAAAAAAAAAAGAAATCAAGGCCTTTGAGTTTTAACTTCCGGATAGACACAAATACAACAAAAATAGCAGGCAAGAAAATAATCAGGAGAAAGAAAAACGGAAGGGAAATAGGAGAAGCTTGGCGAAGATCAAGGTCTTCACAAACAAGTGTGGATCATCAGAGCCGTCTCCTAAACTGACCAGAGGTCTGCAAGGGGCTGAAGAGCCTGGAAACAGGGCTCCCCACCCCCCACCAATTCTCAGCCAATAAGAGAAGCCCCGGGCATCTTCCCCCTTGAGTAGGACAATGGGATTCTGATTCTCCACCTGACACTTGCCCAGCCAGGAGGGACACTACTTGGGAACCAAATGTGGTCCTTTAACCTCCCTGAAGTGTTAACGAACGCTTTGATTTTGTTCCTTCCTCCCCATTAAGACACATGTGGTTCCACTTTGCCCTGAAAAAAAATCTGATCTCACCTCCCAAGCCAGTTTCTCATCTTCTTGGTCCTGTGAGCCAAGCTCTGCAAGGGGGTCCCCTCCTGTCAGGTGACAGAGATGCCCACCTTGCCAAAGATGACCCTGGCAGGGCTCTGTCTCGGGGGTCGGCACCCCACACTGCAACCAGAGCCCAGGATGCATCACTGTGGGTTTCCCGCTCATGTAAAAGCACAGAGGGGCTTGTGGTAACTCTCAGCCCAGAGTGTCCTGTTAGATGCCAGGCAACACAGGCGCGATGACGTTCCCAGACGCTATGCTTTGTGGGGGCAGTTGGGCTGGACAGAACTCCAGGAAGAAAGAGCCCCCACCCCCACCCCCAGCAAAGATCTGGAATCTTGAGAGGTTATGAAGCCATCTTTGCCCTTGCCCTTCTTTTACTGGTGACACACCGGGGCAAAGAGGTGGCGGAGCTGGACCTAGAAATGATGTTGCTTCTCTCAGCTGGCACTGAATCCCTGAGGCTCATCTGCTGAAACATCCCCCATGCTGTGCCAGTCACAGGGGAAACGTAGGCCACTGCCGCAGAGCTCTGCTCCAGAGACGCACTGTGCCTGGTGGGGGGTGGGGGGGGCGCCCGGGGGGGCACCCCTGGAGATGGCTGCAGGCGCGGTGGAGTCCTGAGAGGCTGGATGAACTCTGTCAGGTGGGAAATGGGAAGGTGGATAGAAAAGTGGTTGTTGTTGTTTGATAGAGAGAGAGAATGTGCTAGTGACTGGGGAGATGGGCAGGGGTGGGGAAGGGGGCGAGAGAGAATCCGAAGTAGGCCCCACGCTCAGCACAGAGACCGACATAGGGCTCGATCTCACGACCCCGGGATCATGACTTGAGCCCAAATCAGGAATCAGACACACAACTGACTGAGCCACCCAGGCGCCCCGAGAAAAATGTTCCTGAGAACAGAAATTCAAACCTGGGAAAGCATCCCCCATCTTATCTCTTTCTTAGACATAAACTCTACAACCCACAGGCCCAGAGTCCTGTTACATGTGTGTTATTTCCTTGGATCCTCACAGACCTCTGTCTGTGAGAGCAGCATCTGAATTAGACCCTCTCCCCCAATTTTTATTTTTACCATCTTTATCACTTTAAGTGTTTAGTTCAGGAGTTACTAAGCACACGAACATTGTTTTACAATAGATCTTAGATCTTTTTCGCCTTGCAAAACTGAAACTCTACCCATTAAACAGTAACTCCCTGTTCTCCTTCCGTGCGGCCCCTGAGAACCACCAGTCTGCTTTCTGTCTCTGTGACTTTGATGACTCGAAGTACCCCACATACATGGGATCACACAGGATTTGCCCTTCTGTGACGAGCTAACTTCACCCAGCATGACGTCTTCCAGTTTCATATATCTTGTCACATGTGACAGGTTTTCCTTCCTTTTTAAGCTGGAGAATATTCCATTGTATGTATATACCACCTTTCGCTTACACAGCCGTGTGCTGAAGGACCCTTGGGTTGTTTCCACCTCTCAGCTCTTGTGAATAATGCTACAATGAACGTGCGTGTGCAAATATCCCTTTGAGATTTTGCTTTCAATTCTTTTGGCGATATACCAGAAGAGGAATTGCTGGATCATATGGTCGTTCTATTTTTAAGTTTTTGAGGAACCTCCATACTGTTTTTCACAGCAACTGAACCATTTCACGTTCCCACCCGCAATGTGGGAGGGTTCCAATTTCTCCACATCCTCACTAACACTTGTTATTTTCTGTTGAGATATATATATATATATATATATATATATATATATATACACACACATACATATATGCCCCCTGAGTGGGTATGAGGTGGTATCTTCTTGTAGTTCCCATTTGCATTTCCCTAATGCTTAGTGATATTGACTTTCCTTTCATATGCTTGTTAGCCATTTGTACATCATCTTTGAAGAGACATCTATCCAAATCCTTTGCTTTTATTTTTTTAAGTTTATTTATTTATTTATTGTTTAATGTTTATTGATTCCTGAGAGAGAGGCAGAGCATGAGTGAGGGAGGGGCAGAGAGACAGGGAGACAGAATCCAATGCAGGCTCCAGGCTCTAAGCTGTCAACACAGAGCCCGACGTGGGGCCCGAACTCAGGAACCACGAGATCATGGCCTGAGCCGAAATCAAGAGTCAGATGCTTAACTGACTGGGCCACCCAGGCGCCCCTCATTTGCCTTTTCCAAAATCAGATTATTGTGTTGTTGAGTTGTAGGAGTTCTTTAAAATCCCCCTCTTTTTTTGTTTTGTTTTTAGCTGAAAAAACTGAAGGCTCAATGAGGTGGGTAACTAACTTGGCTTGAGTGTGCTGTGTGTGTCCCCAGCAGCGGGGAAGGGGGGCCCCAGGCAGCAGCCAGAGCGAGCCATGGGTCCAGCCTCCCGGCCACACAGCCTCGCAGCCAAC